TCACCTGACGGCCCGACGAGTCAGACTCCCAGGGACTCTCACTGCCGGAGAGAGACGAGTCAGACTCCCAGGGACTCTCACTGCCGGAGAGAGACGAGTCAGAGTCAGTAGTCACCTGACGGCCGGACGAGTCAGACTCCCACGGACTCTCACTGCGGGAGAGAAGAGTCAGAGTCAGTAGTCACCTGACGGCCCGACGAGTCAGACTCCCAGGGACTCTCACTGCCGGAGAGAGACGAGTCAGAGTCAGTAGTCACCTGACGGCCGGACGAGTCAGACTCCCAGGGACTCTCACTGCCGGAAAGAGGAGTCAGAGTCAGTAGTCACCTGGCGGCCCGACGAGTCAGACTCCCAGGGACTCTCACTGCCGGAGAGAGACGAGTCAGAGTCAGTAGTCACCTGACGGCCCGACAAGTCAGACTCCCAGGGACTCTCACTGCCGGAGAGAGACGAGTCAGAGTCAGTAGTCACCTGACGGCCCGACGAGTCAGACTCCCAGGGACTCTCACTGCGGGAGAGAGACGAGTCAGAGTCAGTAGTCACCTGACGGCCGGACGAGTCAGACTCCCAGGGACTCTCACTGCCGGAGAGACGAGTCAGAGTCAGTAGTCACCTGACGGCCGGACGAGTCAGACTCCCAGGGACTCTCACTGCGGGAGAGACGAGTCAGAGTCAGTAGTCACCTGACGGCCGGACGAGTCAGACTCCCAGGGACTCTCACTGCGGGAGAGACGAGTCAGAGTCAGTAGTCACCTGACGGCCGGACGAGTCAGACTCCCAGGGACTCTCACTGCGGGAGAGACGAGTCAGAGTCAGTAGTCACCTGACGGCCGGACGAGTCAGACTCCCAGGGACTCTCACTGCGGGAGAGACGAGTCAGAGTCAGTAGTCACCTGACGGCCCGACGAGTCAGACTCCCAGGGACTCTCACTGCCGGAGAAAAGAGTCAGAGTCAGAGTCAGTCGAGTGTAGCAGAGGAGAGTCGCTCTCTCGCCCTGAGGAGGAGAGAGAAGTTAGAACTCCATTGACTCTGCAATAGAGTCGGAGTGGCAGAGGAGTCATAGTCAACGACAATTTTCACCGTCCAGTGCGATCTCCAGAGACTGTCGCTGTGTGATGATGATGATGATGGTGAGAGTCAGAGTCATGACTTTTCACAGACGACGTGGCGGTTGCAGATAATTGTCACAATCCACGCACACTGCGACACATGGACAAAACGCCGACATAAAACGTACTCAATACCACCACCTAAATATTCGGTTAATCCGTTCAAAACTAATCATAATCAGTCAGGCTCGGAAAAATGTCTGACATATCGGCAATCATCATCCGAGAGACCACGTGTTCCTACAAATGCCCACTCCACCCCTGACGTACTGATTCCAAACAGGGGAATGTCACTGTACGGGGCATGCCAGATCGAACAAACATCAATAACCCCTCCCTCTCAGAGGGAAGGGGGGGGGGCACGTGCCGTCGCAGGCAGACCGCGTCATGCAATAAGGGTCACTTTGAAGGGTGTCACGGACGGCATACCACCTTTATTGACGCGCAGGAATGTGGGTCGGCGGATCGGTAGGACCCCCCCACCCGCCCCTCCCTTCCATAAGCGTGACTGTACTGAGGGGGAGGGGAAGCGAAGGGTCAATGACTCATCGACTTAGGGAAAGGAAGCATTCTGAGGACACGCCCATCTTCATCGAGTTTTTTTAAATAAAATTAGTCCGAACATTTTGATTTGAAGGATTCACAAGGACAGAGCCCCAGCCAATGGAAGCTTGTTGCGTTGACCTTGCCCTCTACCCTCCGATCGCACCATTCCGGTATGTACTTTGGCAGAATTTCGAGTTCAAAAAGTAACGTGCGCACATAGCCGCGCACGGTCGGTCCCCTCACTGACTTCGCCTGGCTATGGTCTGCCACCAACCGCAACCATACCTGTCAGGAGGCCCATAAATGTCAAGCGCCCGTCGCGCTTCGGACCCGGGCTGTTACAACCGGGAACGCGTGCTCTCACCACGCGGAGTCCAACGCTCTATCAACTGAGCTACGAGATAGGCATATATAGCAGATTATGTTGTAAAATGTGAAACTGATTATTCATTTTGGCATATAGCAGATTATGTTGTAAAATGTGAAACTGATTATTCATAAGTTCAGTAAATAACAAATATCTGGAAATGAGTGTGATACCTACTACAACACCTCGGTGGTAGAGCTAGTTGATGAACATTAAACAAAAATTCAGAATCGAGTGAATAATATATTTTCTTTCATTTCCATTCTTTGCCAAACTGCCTTGCTAGGCATCAGATGGGACGAATTATCAGCTTTGCACTGTGATAAACTATTACAACTATATATTCACAGCCGGTCCCGTAGCTCAGTTGGTAGAGCGTTGGACTCCGCGTGGTGAGAGCACGCGTTCCCGGTTATAACAATCCGGGTTCGAAGCGCGACGGGCGCTCGACATTTATGGGCCTCCTGACAGGTATGGTTGCGGTTGGTGGCAGGCCGTATCCAGGCGAAGTCGGTGAGGGGACCGGCCGTGCGCGGCTATGTGCGCACGTTAGACTTTGGATTCCAAATTCCGTCATAGAACTGGAATTGCGCGATCGGAGGGTAGAGGGTAGGTTCAATCCTTCCTATCAAAAGGCTCGGACTAGATTTATAAGAGAAAAAACTACACTGATGCAGGGAAGTAAAAAAAGTACAAATTACCTAAAGTACCAGAAACGAGTTGAAGATGGAGGCGCTGCCAAACGCCCATTCTTGCATATTAGGTACACTAATTGATGCAGCTTTATCCGGGCTATAGGTATCATCATATTGTATAATATAGCCCACCTTTGCATTTCCATTAATGGATATGCAAACCCCGACTCCTACCGTCCGATCGCGCAATGCCCGGTAACGGGAGAATTTGGATGCCAAAGTTTAGCATGCCCTTTATATCCGGACACGGCCTGTCCCAATCAACTGACTTCAACTGGCTGCGACTGATCCCACCAACCGCAGACCATCCCCGTCAGGAGTCTCAAATATCGAGCGCCGGAGCGAATGGAACCCAGGCCCTCATTACTGCGAGTACCACGCTCCACCAACTGAGCCACGGGCCAGGATTATATCACCAGGCGTTCAATGACCCACCTTTGCATGTCCATCAACTGATGTAGTTCGGCTCTTGTAATGTCATCGTACATCGGTAGCCTTTTCATGTTCACCGGGCCGCCTCTCATAGCGACAACCAGCTGAATACGTGACCCGCTGTGAACGCCGCTTTCCAGCAGCGAAGAGCCGTCTAACAGCTCCTTGTTGTTGTAGATCAGGTGCTGTTGGGAAACAGGTACTCCTGGGAAGGGGATAGGGGTTTAGTCACACACATCCTTGTTGTAGATCAGGTGCTGTTGGGAGACAGGTACTCCTGGGAAGGGGATAGCGGCTAGTCACACAGCTCCTTGTTGTTGTAGATCAGGTGCTGTTGGGAGACAGATACTCCTGGGAAGGGGATAGCGGGCTAGTCACACAGCTCCTTGTTGTTGTAGATCAGGTGCTGTTGGGAGACAGATACTCCTGGGAAGGGGATAGCGGGCTAGTCACACAGCTCCTTGTTGTTGTAGATCAGGTGCTGTTGGGAGAAAGGTACTCCTGGGAAGGGGATAGCGGGCTAGTCACACAGCTCCTTGTTGTTGTAGATCAGGTGCTGTTGGGAGACAGGTACTCCTGGGAAGGGGATAGCGGCTAGTCACACAGCTCCTTGTTGTTGTAGATCAGGTGCTGTTGGGAGACAGGTACTCCTGGGAAGGGGATAGCGGGCTAGTCACACAGCTCCTTGTTGTTGTAGATCAGGTGCTGTTGGGAGACAGGTACTCCTGGGAAGGGGATAGCGGGCTGGTCACCACGGTTCTTCTGCACAGGCTAAATCAGAAAGATGGCCCCGGACGTTGCACGCGAAGGGGGAGGGGGCATATCCCCATAAGCTTTGCGTTCTAAAACGTTTCCTTATGCACGAATGCGTACTGTACAGTTTTAAGCAAACCTTTCCTTATTCAGTTGTTTATCTATTCTAAAAAAATCATGATATTTTCGCGCCGCAACGAGAATACGCCAAAAAGGACATCCGCGGTGGGAAGTCACCGGTGGAATTCGAACCACCAACCTTATGAACACCACCATGGTACTCTAACCACTCCGCCACGGCGACAATGTGTGCATGTGAGCTTTAATGTCGTAAACATAAAACCTAGCTTCAATAGACGCAACCAAGGGCAAGGACCGAACGTATGAATATGCCCTGCAGATAGTGAAAGTCCCGAGCTTCCAATTTCACCCCAAGAGGATCTCACTGTTGATCAACAATAGTTTACAAAGTGTTCAGCCACCAAAGGGCGCGCGGGGGGGGGGCGTCGTGAGACAGCTCGGACTAAGGGGCAGCAGGTAGGCACTCCACCCAGCGGGTCCCCATTCCGAGGCCATTCCCCAGTCCAGGTGCCATTCCAGTGGACACTCACCTTCGATCCTCTGGATGCGCGCCTTCACCGACAGCACAGTCTCAAAGCTGGAAACTCGCAGACGGAACCCAGCGCCCGTCAGAGTTTCAACCAGTACTTCAATGGCGGCGGGACGACGCGACGCGGGAGCCATCTATCGGCGCGACGGCAGAGCCATCTGCCGGCGCTACATGGCGGCTCTAGTGTCGGCTGCGGCCGCCGGACGGTGCTGCCTGCGGAATTGAGATAACGACGGTGTTAACCAGGGTGTTTGAACAACTCCCTCCTAATGCGTTTTAGCACACCCTATCTACTCTTCAGAATTTATTTCCAAAAGGTCCGATCATCAATTGCGGAGCGGTTGTTAGTTGTTATGACTTACGAATATGTAATGGAAGAAATCCTAGGTTGTAGGTTGTCTTTTAGGGTTTGATAGGTTGTAGGTTCAGGTTGTAGGTTGTAGGTTAGGTAGTAGGTAAGAAGGACTAGGCAAGGTAAGGTTAGGTGAGATTGCGCTTCTTTGTTACATTTGCGCCACATGTTAGCAATTAGCATTATATTTAGATTCAGGACGTAAAATAATTACGGAACGAGCGAAGCCAGCAAAGCCTTACGCAGAATAACAGACATTTCTGAGTATGAGTGGCCGGCCGGCCGTGGTCACACTTTTGCGACGCTTATATCTCAGCAACCACTTGACCGATTTACATGCGGTAATTTTTGTAGGGTAACTTCATTCCTTCTACCTATACCTAAGTATTGGACTATTCCCGATGGATATGGTGACCCCCTTAAAGAGGTGTCAGTATTGTAAAAATTGCAATATCTCGGTCACCACTGGGCCGAATGCGCTGGAAGTTGGAATGTAGGTACCTAAGCACCCACTAGGAAATGCATATCCATCATGTGCCACAGTTGGGGTGCTGCTGCACGTGCGCACTAGCAGGGGTCGATTTTAGATCTTGAAAACGGCTGAACCGATTGCGCTGAACTTTGGTAGGGGAGAGTGGGGCACATTCGAGCTATGTAGCTCAATCTCACCTTAGTTGGCCAGCATTCAAAAATGGTGGTTAAGAACTATTGACCAGCAATGTCCTCAAGTAAGTAGCTACATTAATGTTTTATACCGACAGTCCGATACCCGCAGCCTTCACCCACTTTCAGATCCTTGCATGGATGCAAAAACAAATCATATATTGAATATCAATAAATATTGAAATGGGCAGCAAAGGGTTTTAGTTTGGGCACTGTTACCACAGGAAATAGGCCAATTTTACCAATAAATGGCTAAAAGAATCAACTAGAAAGTGACCCAGCATTCAACCCCTGCAGCAGTGAACAGAGACAGGTAAAACACTAGCTCTAAGTTACATCCAAGTCGCGCCTTGTTTCGATGACATGCAAATTTCAAAACCACCTCACTCATTCAACCACCCACAAATCAACTTCTGATTCCCGAGAGAAATAAACATCAGTGGCATGCCGTCACTTCATCAAAAGAATCTGTCAAGGAATTCCTTTCTTTGCCTTACCACGGAAAAGATGTCAGAGATTTCGATGAACATCTAGTTGCACGATGTTTGATAACAACAAGACCAACGTTTAGAAAATGTTGTTTTTAATCTATTCAATTGTAATATGGACTAGTTTCGTTAATGAACATTAGAAATATGATTAACTTGTTGTGTATAACGCAGCGTGTGCTGTGAATTTCATAAAAAATACCCCTAAAAATTATCGACAAATATGGTAGCATACATCGACGTATATTGCGCATTTGTTATGTACAATGGCGCATGTCCAATGTAGGGCGCGTAGGGGCGTATACAAAGGTAGCGGGGTAGCGGATCATTCCAGACATTTCAATTTGTGGGGATGTTTTCTCGTAGAGCTAGGTTAATTTGATTTATAATTTCACATATTACTGCGAATCATTCATATTATTGATTTCTTCAGGGAACGTCCATATAAATCGCTATTGATTTTTTAGTTCTTTTGTTGATAGGCTGCTGAGTCTTGTTTTGCTGATTGTGATAGGTATTGAAAATCAAGTTTGTCTTTTTTCACTCATGCTTTTAATCAGCTTGTGGATTATCGTCTGCTTGATCAGCCATAATTATTTTTTCAGCAATTCTGACAGAAAGCATTAGCTCATCAAGAGTCAATATCTTTTTCCAAACCAGCAAGTTTCCTGTGCCATGAGGAAGCTTTTCTCCAAGAATCCGAATCATGCTTCTAGTCACTCCTCTCAAGCTGCCGCTGCTCCATTTGTCGGAAAATCATTCCAAGTTGGAAGAACTGCTGTTACCGTGGAAGATGTAATCGCAGAAGGTGAGACACATGAATTCTTGAGGCACAAAGCTAATTGCTGACATGCAAGAATGATTGGCGGGTGCAGCACCCTCCTGCATCTACCCTGCAAACCTGCATAAGAATGATTTCAGAGGTTTTTCATATATTTAAAATCAGTTGGTTTTATGTTTTGCACAATATTACTGATTTTTTCCTAGAACTGTCATTGATTAAGAAATGGTAATTTAATGATAAATAAATGTAGATCTATAAACATTATTCCTCTGCTCACTTTAATAGATTGATTTATTGCATGAACCTATATATTTTTTTGTTTTTTTTTATCATTTGTTAAAAGGAATAGTTCACTTTTGTCAAATTTGTCTTTGCAATGGTATTATGATTTTTTGTGTGCTTGAAATGATCAGAAATAACACTTTTTATAAAACAAATGAGATTATTTTCTATATGTATATATAGTAAGAAACATTTACCATATTCTATATAAAGTAATGTTTGATGCGGAACTGCTATTCCAGTTCAAAACCCCATGTTAAAAGTCAACTATTTCCTTTACTTGTGTTGCTTTTGTTCTTTGTGTCATTACAACTACTGTTTGTCATGCAGGCGGGTTTGCGATTGTGTTCCTTGTTCGGGCCAGTGGCGGTCAGAAGTTGGCGCTCAAACGGATGTACGTCAACAACGAGTCCGATCTTCAGGCGTGCAGGCGGGAGATTCAGATCACTGTAAGTAAATATGGGATACACGCTGACACTAAGTAACCGGAGGTACACAGTAAGAAACGTAACAAACGGTTGATACACCGTAAGTCCGTGTTTTTGGAGCTACATCGTAACTCAGTGTAACCGGAGATTCTCTATAAGTGTTTGTAACTGGAGAAGTAAGTCGGTGTAACGGGAAATACACCGTAAGTAACGGAAGATACACTGTAGGTCGGCGTAACGGGAAATACACCGTAAGAAACGTAAGTAACGGAAGATACACTGTATGTCGCTGTGACGGGAAATACACCGTAAGTAACGGAATATACACTCTAGGTCGGTGTAACGGGAAATACACCGTAAGAAACGTAAGTAACGGAATATACACTGTAGGTCGGTGTAACGGGAAATGCACCGTAGGGAACGTAAGTTACGGGAGATACATTGTAAGTCGGTGTAACGGAAGACACACGATAACGTGTTTGTTGGGATCAGGACGATTTTAGCCTGGCCTGGTCGGGGTTCGAGCCACTGTGCGCGGGGCGGCTACCCACCACCAGGGACGCAGTTTGAAGCAAACAATTAACACCGTGTTCTGAAGACCCAGTGCTAGCTTTGCCTTCCAACTTGACTTCACTCGAGAGTTGAGGTCGTCACAGGTCACATTTTCTGATTCCTCGACCAAGACCGACAATATATGACAAAGGACGCTATTTTTCGGGACTTAAAGGTGTAAATACAGCGCGAAAAAGCCATCAGTACCTAGCTGTTTCTAAGCTGGCAGTTACTTCCGAAAGTATTGCCACATTTGACTTCGGAGGCCAGTTTTACTAGCAGAAACATAGTCGCCTGTCATTTTTTTTTTTGCCTAAAGCTAACCCCGAATTTGGTCATCCAGAGGAGAAACATTATACTGACGGGACTAAATGTGTCCGTAAGTCTGGCTGATATAATTCGTGATATCAGTATCACTTTTTGCCACCTGGATAGCCGAATTCTGGAACGGCTTTTGTCAAAAAAAGAAAGAAATCCGGCAGGCGGCTATTTTTCTGTGGGTAAAACTGGCATCAGGTCAACAATGTGAGATACAGAGATCGTCAAGGATTAAAACGGTTTATTTCAGTCAACAATTTAGCCCCCTCTATGAACTGACCTCAGGGTTTTTATCGTGGCCTAGTCCCGTTATGAAAACCCTCTCCGGACCCAGACGCAAGGCTTACTGTGCCTGGACCTCTCTGACTTCGAAAATAACCCCCGGAGGCCGGATCTAGCCGTGTCCGCTTGTGACCTGCCCCGGGCCTCTTTTCATCATGACATTTAGCTGACCTTTGCCGTAACATAACCCCTTTATTTATCTTGTGTTCCTGTCCTAACTATTGCCGGGTCCGTCCCGTGGCGTCTTTTGCGACAACCCTCTGTGGCCTTTGCCTGACCTGACCTGACCTCGTAACATTTTTTTCGTGATCTAAACTATTTATCCTTTATCTCCTGTTATAGTATCTTTTTCGGCATAACCCCATTACTTTTCTTATGCCGATTGTGGCATAAAATCCCAATATTTTCAACATGCCCTTTGCCGTTTCCTAACGAACCCTAACGTTGCCAAGGTAACCTGACCTCCCCCCCCCCCCCCCCCCACACACACACAGTCTAGTCTGAGTGGTCATCCCCACATCATCGGGTACGTCGACTCTGCGGTGCGTAGCTGCGGTGGCGGCGTGTTCGAGGTCCTGCTGCTGATGCCCTACCACCGAGCGCACGTGCTGCAGATGATGAATGACAGGTGAGGTCGCGGGTTCGATTCCCGTCAGGGATCGGAGTTTTGTGGAAGAAAGGATGCATACTGTTAGCATCAGTGTTCTAAAATTGGATATTGGTTGGGTGTGCCGATGAAGAAAAAAATCCTAAGATGAGAAAAAAGAAAGTAAATAACTGCAGTATTTTTGCTGTAATGCCAATTTTTATGCTAACTGATAAACCAGGATTTCATGTCAGGATCTTGACAGGGTGTGGAACAAAAGGATGTGGGTGCATCAACTGTCTAGTGACAAGTGAACTGGCTGTTGGGAATACATGAAACTCTTTTCAGAGATGAAGTAAAGTCGGTCATTCATATTTTAGGGATGAAAATATTTTCCCCATTAGGTGTGATTTGCCACCAAAAAGGCTGAAAAATGAAACACTGGTTAGCATACTATATATTGTGGTTCTTTCACCATGACAGACAATGTTACCGAAAATAAAAAGGAATATAGAGCGAAACATTTCAGTGCAGCGGACGTCATCAGGTTTCTCGTTTGCTGGTTTGCCAGTTTGTTGGCTCGTTGGCTCTTTGCAGTAGGTATGGCAGTTTTATGAGCTCGTATTGCCAGGCAAACTCGGGATACCTCTACCCGGAAATCAAGCGATCTCCCACAGTCATGGTCTCAGTCTCTCCTCTCAAAGTCTCACAGTTTCACCGTGTATGACCCTGCATATTTACACCTGCACTGATCTCATTTCACCATATTCTAACTCTGTTATATCCGTGTATATCCCTCGTGACGTCCCCTAGCGCCTCTTTGACCCTGTCCATGCCCCAGGCTACAAACGGGCTTCACTGAGACGGAAGTGCTGCGAATATTCAGCGACGTCTGTGAGGCCGTGTCCAGACTGCACCACTGCCAGACTCCCATCATACACCGCGACCTGAAGGTAAATGACGTCATAAAACCAGTGGACAGCGGTACAAATTACACTCTTAAAGGTCCATTATACACCAAGACCTGTAGGTAATTACTGACGTCATAAAACCGATCGACAGACTACACCTTTGACATCAATGCCAAATATACGTCTTACGTGCGCCGTTCGACCTGAATACCAAAATGTAAGGCTTACGTAAGTTGTCTGGAAATGAACAATTTTTACTGAGTATGTGCACGTCAAAATGGTACCTAGGCTGTCAACTTGAATCCAAAAACTACTTACGTATTTGCCTAACTTAGCCGTCGACCTGAATACGGTGGTGTTGTTTGTAGTCGAATAGTCGACGCTTAGCACCGGAAATGACGCAATGCTTAGCGGCGAGAGAGAGAGAGAGAGAGAGAGAGAGAGAGAGAGAGAGAGAGAGAGAGAGAGAGAGAGGGGGGGGGGGGGAGAGGGAGAGGGGGGAAAGAGAATGAGAGGGAGTAGTGAGAGTTGTTACGAGCGAGCGAGCGCAGCGAGCGAAGTGAGTCTTTTCAACATAACGGAAAAATCTCAGTATGAGCGGCCCGGCCCGACCCGGCCCGGCCCGGCCCGGCCCGGCCTGTAACGCTTTTGAGAGGCTTATATCTCAGCAACCGCTGGACCGATTGGCTTGCGGTCTTTTTTGTTGGGTAGCCCCATCCCTTCTACCCCGTATTTGACTACTTTTGATGCATCTCAGTGACCGTCGTGGCACGTGCCACGTGAAAAGTCAAGGGTGTTCAAGCTGTTTTGCAAAAGTAGTGATTTTGAGAGGCTCATATCTCAGCAGCCGCTTGGGCGATTGACTTGCAGTAATTTTTATAGGGTAGCAGCATCCCTTCTACCCAAACTAGGATACTCTCGATGCATGTGGGTCACCCCCACTGCACGTGCAAAATGGTGCCAAATTTGTTCCCATTTCAGTAACTCGGTAATTACTGGGGCGATTTCGCTGAAACTTGGCATACAGGTAGGCACCCACCAGGCAATGCATTCCCATGTGTTGCGGTTAGGGTGCTACTGCACGTGCGCACGTGCAAGGGGCGTTTCCAGATCTCGAGAACGGCTGGACCGATTGCGCTCAAATTTGGTACACGGTTGGGGACCAGTTAGTAGGGTGCCGTGCAAAAGTCATTTTGGACCCCGTTTGCACGTGCGCACGTGCAGAATGCCGCTTCCAAATCTCAGGAACGGCTGGGCCGATTGCGTTCAAATTTGGCACACCGCTAGCGACCAGTTAGAAGGGTGCTTTGCGCAAGCCCGTTGGAAGCACCCTCTCGCCCTTCCGCACGTGCAGGGCTCACTATCTCGCTCGCTCGTTCTTCGCCCAAAAGGCGTTTTACTGGTAGATATGTTCTTTAGACCAAATATTCACGGGGGGAGGTGGGTCTAATGAGTTCACCTGCGAACTCACTCATTCATTATCTAATTCCACTAACTCATACTCACTCACTCACTCACTCACTCACTCACTCACTCACTCACTCACTCACTCACTCACTCACTCACTCACTCACTCACTCACTCACTCACTCACTCACTCACTCACTCACTCACTGACGTCATGTCTCACTTTGTTTCAGGTCGAGAACGTCCTCATGTCTGAAGATGGCAAGTTTGTTCTATGTGACTTCGGTTCGGCTACCGCCAAGGCAAGTCTCTCTTCTCGCGCCGTTTGTTGTGTTTTTTTTTTCTTCTAAAGAGACAACTCTTGGGCTATTGGTTGATAGAGCGAAGGCCTGGCTACACTATGCGTTTTCTGTGTGCGTTTTTTTTTGCGGGTTGCGATTTTTGCGTAATATCGTTCTAAAAAAGATTATAAATAATAAAACGTTTTCATTAGTTGTATAGAAAAGTTAATTTAAAGGGACTGTCCCACCTTTGCATTAGTTCTGAGTTGAGATAGCCAAGTTGGCGGCCAGGTTCAGAAACCACTATATATCCTAGTCGTAATATCCTCAGTTTCGTGGTGTTAAAGAAATTCGTTCCCCTTATTTGAAAAGTGGGCCTTAGCTAACTGCTAAGGCCCTATCTCTTAACTATTAACGGCCATTTGATGACGTCATCAGCCGTTTCACGCGTTCGACCTGTTTTACGAATAAGTTGAAATCGGCGCCGGGGAAACCTTGTTACTTGTTATTGTATGAGCCGCGTCATATTTGAGAGCAAATACCTATATTTGCTGCCAAATTTCCTCCACATTGACATGAAGTAAATCCTTCATTACGTCACAGATCCGATATAAATGACGTCACGATGAAATATAAAAGTCGCAATATCTCAAAAAGTATACAATGAAAACGCGTAAAAACTTGCAGAATTCGTCACAATATCATGAGTAACATTTCCGAATCATAATGGTACTTTTTTGAAGGTGGGATAGTCCCTTTAACTCTTTTATTAACTAAAATTTAACATAAGAAATATTACATAAACGTAATATCATTTATTTTTCTGGAACGACATTACGCAAAACCCGCAAACCCGCAAAAAAACTACACAGAAAGCGCATAGTGTAGCGAGGCCTTTAAGCGTCATTTGCTGCTCCTGTTCATTCCCAGTTGGAATGACTCCGGCCGTTTTCAATTCACAGGTGCTGAACCCCGCCACCAGCGGAGTGCCGGCCGTAGAAGAAGAAATAAAAAAGTACACCACGCTCAGTTATCGGTCACCGGAAATGGTCGACCTCTACTCGGGAACACCAATCACCATCAGTAGCGACATATGGGTACGGAGAGTTCGGGGAGTTCGGGTTCAAATCCAGTGACGGTCTAAGTTTTTTTTCGTCGTTTAAATTGCGATAAAAATGTGCCGTTGTTCAATGTTGACTGCACTGGATGTATTATGCGGGTATTCCCTGTCTTTTTTTCTGTGTCTATCCTATATGCTGTGCCGTGTGATATGGTATGGTACCGTAAGATAAGGGACGGTACCACCTACTGGATACCTATCTCAATATGATATCAACTTTTTGGTATACCGATACCAACTTTGTGTTTGGCGTTTCAGTGATGGTGCTTTTGGTATTTTGTTTGCATTGTGAATACTTCGTAATGCATTTGATGCTCTGAAACCGAGAAAAGTTAATATGTCTATCATTTTCCGGAGTTGATTTGGTTTCGGTATTTTCCCACGTTTTAGTTGGTATTTGGTACTTTGGTATCGGTTTCCAAGTTATCTGGAATTGGCATTCCACATACAATTCACATGCATCAGAAACTTTGAATAAGTCATGTATATCATAAAAGATCAAGTTTTATTCATTTTCATGCGTACACGTGCAGATACCACGCGGCCGAAATGGCTTCAAGCGACACCCTGTAGTATCTACCATGGCGCAGCTCTCCTGTGCTGTATTTCACTGACCACCTTCCTCCCACACTGTGGGCAACCCCTCCTCGCCACGCCTTTGTATAATGATGTGTCCTTTCCATACGGTATCTGCAGTGTGAGATGTTCTAGGCCGGCGCTGTATATCAGCGGCGGAACACCTTCAATTAACCCGCGCCCCGTAGGGGGGGGGGGCCGAAACGGCCCCCCCCCCTGGCCTTTTCGGTCGATATCTCCTAAACGGCTGGAGATATCGCCACCAAACTTTCAGGACCCCTCCGGGCATCAATTTTACACATTGTGACCAAAAATTTTTTCCAGAGGCTATGATAGGTTGGCCACAAATGACGTCAGAGTGACTTCATGTTCTGTCATTTTCGACCGAAAAAAGACCTTCGCGAGAAGACCTGTCAGGACTACAGCTTTGAAGATACAGAAAAATGATCAAGACATAAAAGGTGTAGAATTGACAGGGCTACAAAACTGCTATCTCGAATTTTTGAAATTTTTGAGTTTTGACCCCCAAAAATCAAAAAAACATTTTTTTGGATATATTCGCCAAAAAATCCAAAAAGTTTTTTGAGTTTCGAAAAAAACCGGAATATATGTGATAGTGCCTACCGTCTTCTATCTACATACCAAATTTCAGATCGATACCTCGTTTTTTGGCCAAGTTATAGCGAAAAAACTGTTCAAAAATGATGACGTCAAATTTTCAAACTCAATTTTTGGCAATTCTAGAACTCGTAGAGCAAAACGAAGACCACCATTAGACTCCCCGTGACGAGCTGCATCGAATCGATACCCATTTTATGCAAAAATATCAACTTTGAAACTTGACCTAATTTGACCTGACCTTGACCTGACCTTCACAAAAACGTGACCTAGGCTGGCCCCAAAGGCTGCCTAACCCACATAATCGCATTTGTCATGTAAAATGGACCATAAAACATGTATCACACGACGCATTCATATTGTGACCCCCGGTGACCTGACCTCGCTGTGACCTGACCTGGTATCAGTGACCTCAGATAGCAAAGTATGTGTTTGACGAACAATGTACCATCGATGGTTTTCAATAAATTACCAATTTACTCGCTTTCACAGCACATTTCTTGAATTGCCTGTGAACGGTGAAAATCTGACCTTTGACCTGACCTGTGACGTCATCGGTTTGACCTAGGTCAATGAAATTTGGTCACAAGGTAGTTCCCGGGTGGGGCTATCGAATGCCGTTTGAATTTTGAAAATCGGCCGGTAACTTTCCGAGATCTTAGGGGGGGGGCCGATACGCCCCCCCCCTACGGGTGGTAGGGTCCGCCGGTAGCCCTACGGGGCGCGGGTTAAGGGGGGAGAGGGCACTGCCGACTTTTGGTCCCATTCTTTCAATGCAACGCCCAAAGGGCTAATGTTAAAATGCCCAAATCAAAGGGGGAACGGTGCCCTTGCCGTTCCGCCGCCTATGGACACTGATACTCTCCGTTTCCGCAGGCTCTCGGATGTCTGCTCTACAAGCTGGCATTCTTCACTCTTCCGTTCGGCGAGTCGTCGCTGGCTATCCAGAACGGCCAGTTCTCGTTCCCAGACAACTCCAAGTACTCCCGGCGGCTCCATGCGCTCATACGTGAGTTGGGACAGAGTTATATTTTATCCTCGGAGTTGGGACAGAGTTATATTTTATCCTCGGAGTTGGGACAGAGTTATATTTTATTATCGGAGTTTTGACAGAGTTATATTTTATTCTCGGAGTTTGGACAGAGTTATATCTTTACTCTCGGAGTTTGGACGGAATTATATTTTATTCTCGGAGTTTGCACCGCGTTATATCTTATTCTCGGAGTTTGCACCGAGTTATGTTTTATTCTCGGAGTTTGCACCGAGTTATATTTTATTCTCGGTCGACGTTCCTTCACTGATATGCCTGGGGGAAGCTGTGAAGCCTGCTCGACAATTATAATGATAATAAAAGGTTTATTTCATGCCATCAGAGGCACATAACATAACACAACCATACATATGTTGAGTGCCTATATTTTTGTACACTTAATTCAATTACGAAATAGGAATACAATTACGTAAGTTACGAATATATTATGAATTTTCACTATTGTAAAAGAGGCTCTGCCTTTGGTAAAAAGTTTATAATCCTCTCAATTTACCAGACTGGCTCGTTTCGTATTTTCTCATGGTTCTGGTTGGTACTTGGTGATTGCTATCGGTATCCCGATTATCTGTAAGCAGCATCACTAGTCCCAACGATCGGCTAACGTTAAATGTGCGTGTTTTCCACAGGATACATCCTGCACCCGAACCCGGCGCTGCGTCCAGACATATTCCAAGTCGCCTACCTGACCTGCCGGCTGCTGGGAAAGGAGTGCCCCGTGCAAAACCTTCACGTGAGTCCACCGAGGAAACGCTGATAGGAAAGAGTGTTACGTAAAGGAGTTACGGGAAAGAATTCTACGTTGGTGGAAAGCAAAATTCTCACTCAAGTAGTTTATCCAAGCATGGTAAAAAATCCGCAGAATCCTGCACGTAAGGCTGCGAATATATCGGGAAATACTATTATATTCAAAAACTGCACGTAAGTATTTCATTCACTTTAGTATCGTAATTGATTTTCCTCACAAAACATGGACGAAAGTTATTAAAACGCGCACTGACGGCGGGGGGGGGGCGGATATCCCCCCTGAGGTTTTTCGCGAATAGCCGAAATTTGGTACGACTATTCTCTCATCAATTTTACACATGGTGTGCAAGTTTGAACCTCCTAACTTTTAACCCTCGCCCGCACATGGGGGGGGGGTGGTTGCCACCCCCCCCCCCCCCCAGGCAGTCTTTCTGCTCTGCACTCAACATTTTTAGAGCTAGAAGGCTGATTTTTCGTATAGCTGCTCGTCTATCCTTTCTTGATGTCCACTGAAAATTTCAAGTTTCTGTGTTTTTTGGTTTCGGAGATATGACCTTATTTTTCAGGTCATGTCATGACCCAAATGGCCAATTCTCAACATCTTGCGTTTGCCATGGGCCTTGTGAGCTTTTGGCACCCTGATTTCGGCCTTTTTTGCCAGTCTTACCTCCCACCTATCATGGAACATGCTGTTCGACGATGTACAGGGGTCAAGGTCAGGGTCAAGGTCAACCTAGGTCATCTAAGATAATTGCGTTTTAGGCAAGCTGAATTTACTTTTTGTGAAGTTTTTTGACTGCATTTTTGGTAAAAGCTTCTCAGATCATGATTTCATGTGATATGGACCCAAAAACAATCGGTGCACACATCAGTATACACACAGACACACACAGACATACAAACACATATAATTGACCTTGACCTAACTTGACCTGAAATGACCTCAGCAGCAAAATTCTGGTCGGATAGTGTGACAAAGAGGTTCTAGCTGGCTTGGCACCAGAAAACAGCATCGTCATCGGTATTTGATAAGCAGCGCACTTGATATCCAACGGTGACCCAAAACAGCAACATTTTTTAGTTTGACCTGACCTGGAAGGTCAATGACTGACCTGAGAAGGTAAAACTGGGTATCATTGGATTCGTCTCTTCCCAAAGAATCTTTTTGGTCTTTACTGCTAAGCTCTATCTCCAACAGGAACGAAATGGCGCGGGGGGGGGGGGGTGGCAACCACCCCCCCCCCCCCATGTGCGTTCTAGGATGGGAAAATGGCATGTGCGGGCGAGGGTTAAGGTCAGGTCACCAAGTCACTTTGAATGACCCAACCTCAAGTCACTTTTTTGCAACTTTGTCACCGTGCCAGAGCTACAGTAGATGTCGGAGGCCTTTGAATGTCGCAGGATGTTATAAGGTCATTAGTAGCTACAATTTGTATATCGGAATTTTGATATCGATGACCTAAGGTCAGGTGAATTTCTCGACCTCCCCATTATAAGTCAATGGGGGAAAAATCAACTCCCTGTTTTTACCACTAAAATGAGTCGGAATGGCCCCATATACCATGCATGACTTCATATATGATCAACCTTCACTACCTTGAGGTCAGTTTTGCTGTTGGGCAGCTGTAAGGTCATGTGAGGTCATCAAAGGTCATCAAAGGTTTTTCCCAATAACTCCGTACAGGAAGAAGATACAGCCGCGCGGATGGTCTCATTGTGTTCAGCTCGTCGAGACGCATCGAATGATATACATGATGACCTTGAGGTCACGTGACCTGAGGTCAACCCTTGACCTTGACCTTTCGAGGTCAACATATATATCATTCGATGCGGATTGACGAGAGAATCACGATGATGCCCTTAGTTTGTTCCTATCTTGACTAATTCGAAAGTTATTCGAGAAAAACTTTCCATATCTAGTGCCGCCATTTTGACTTTTTTGACCCCTGTGACGTCATCTTTGACCTGACCTGAAAATGACCTGAGTAGAAATTGTAGACCTTGTCCGTGCGTATCCGATGCCCTTTACCGCTTGTCGATATCTTGCTTTGTTCTCGAGATCTCAGGGGGGGGGCGGTCATCCTTCCCCCCCCCCCGTCGGTACGAAGTTGGCGCAGACCCCCGTCGGTGCGAGTGTTAATTAATGCAGTCACCCATTGCATACGCTAACCTAGACCACTCAATTTCAGACGTTGTATCACACACCCAAACCGGCACAGGTTCAGACCTCCGGCTACAGAACCTAAACCCATGCTGCACACTTTGACTCGGGCTTCACACGACGGCTGCCAAGCTTTCGATTCAGCCTAATAACTCTACATTGTTGACAGACTTGCTCAGGTCTGAAAGCAGTATGAGTGTGCACAGGCGCTCACAGACTAGAGGCGCCACGGGCTATGGGCCCCAGATCAAGGGCGTAACCACGACCAATGCGGACAGTGCGGGATGTCCCACCAGCTTTACGGCCGGCGGAGAACGTGTCCCCTTCCCCGACCTTTAATTAGACTATGCACCGCAAACGGCGCACCACACCTAAGGGACGCTACACAAATGACTCGCGCTTCCCAGGCATTGGGGCGTCCCGACCCTCTTTGGTATTTAGGCGCTCCTATAGGCCTCACGGGCCTCTTTGTTTTTTGTTTTGTTTTGTTGGGTTAGGCCCTGTCGGTCCAATTAGACCATTTCAGAGCCGGGAGGATAATAGGATATAGGGGGAGACATTGGTCTGGGCAGGCACCCTAGTGAGTCGCCGGGGCTGAACCCGTCCAGAGGACAGGCCACCCAGCCCCAAGGCACTCACTGCACCCGGCTACGGGGTGCGCTCCCTCGGGAGCAGCGGTGCCGCTCCAAAGCAGCAGCCCGCATGAGATAAAGTTGCCTGTCCAGCCCGGAGGGGGGTTGCGGCGTGGGGGAGAAGGATTTCAGTATCCTGAGGATAGAAGCATGGAACGGTGTGACGGGCCTCTTAGGCGATTGCGTCCCATAGAGGGATGCCCCCCCCCCCTTGTCAGTTTTGTCCAAATATCTTTGTTGAGTGTGGTTAACTGGTTACACCCCTGGGTCAGACATAGTTGGACGTTAGACTCCAGAACTATCAAGTGTCAAACTATCCTAGCTTCCCAGAGCTTATGATTCACTGTTTTGTTTGTTAGAACTCGGCGGTTCCCGACATGGACGCGCTCCTCGGAGCGCTCGAGGCGACACCTACGGCGACGGTGGCGCCGCCGGACGGCCGCGCGGCGAACTCGAGCCTCCGCGAGCCGCCGCAGGAGGTGCTGACGTCGGTGGCGCCCCGTCAGAGGCCGAAGGCCGGGCTGAAGGCGGTGGCGGCGGGGCCCATAGCGGCGCCCGTGCTCCCCCTGCCGCCCCAGGGTAGGTGGGGGAGGGGAGGGATGTGTAGGGGGACGGGAGGGAGATATTGCTGATCGAAAAGGAAGAGAGATTACCTGCTGAAGGAGGCTCGACATTCGATTTGGCTGTCAGTTGCAATTTTTGATTTTTATAAAGTTTTAGGCACAACATTTTGATCAATTATCTTGAACTTCTAGTTAGTTGATCCGTCTCCAATCTGCAGACTGCATCCCTGTGTTTGGCTCCATGGTATCAATATGACGGTAAGGTCAGACCTTGGAGGTCAATTTGATTGTCATGAGGTCTTTCTACGGACGTCATCCCAGCTATTGAGTCGTTCCAACCCTTGAGGAGATTTTGCCCTCAATATCACATCTCTCTCTCTCTCTCTCTCTCCTCTCTCTCTCTCTCTCTCTCTCTCCTCTCTCTCTCTTCTCTCCTCTCCTCTCTCTCTCTCTCTCTCTCCTCTCTCCTCTCTCTCCCTCTCTCTCTCTCCTCTCTCTCCTCTCTCTCTCTCTCTCTCTCTCTCTCCTCTCTCTCCTCTCCTCTCTCTCCTCTCTCTCTCTCTCCTCTCTCTCTCTCTCTCTCCTCTCTCCTCCTCTCCCTCTCTCTCTCCTCTCCTCTCTCCCTCTCTCTCTCTCCCCCCTCCTCTCTCCCCTCCTCTCTCTCTCTCCTCCTCTCTCCTCTCTCTCT